ATAAAATGCAGAACCTTGTCTCCTTCTCACCTCACATGTTATCAGCAGCAGCAGCATCTGGAGTTGGAGTACATTGTGCCTCTGGAGATGGGAAGTGGATAAAACGCTGGAGTCCACTCTGAGGAGAAGTGGTTTTTGTTTTGTGCAGCGTTCAATTCCACAGCAAAGACTCTCACGGTTCAACATTTTCAGAAGAATTTTTTTACAGCATTAATAGAAATGCCATTCCAGGACCACAGAGGCACAGACTCACACACCAACACACACCACACACTGCACTGATCAATGCAGTTGGCCATCGGAGAGCCGTGTGTGTGTGTGTGGCCAGCAGGGGGATGGGTCACTGAGTGCCACTCACTCTCTGTCTGTTTTCCACAGTATGAACACTCACCCTGTCTGAAGCCCTGATAAAAGGAGCTCACTGCTGCTGCTGCTGCTGCTGCTGCTGCTGCTGCTGCTGCTGCTGCTGCTGCTGCTGCTGTGTATGAGGGACAGTCATCACTGCTGGGTTTAAGCTGCTTGGAACTTTACCATTTTACTGCGATCACACGCGTGTCGTGGAGAGGACAGAGGCGGACGTCGCTCTCTGGATAAGGTGGAGTAAAAACTTTTCAAATTTGATTGGATTCAGAGTTGTTTTTTTATTTTCATTTCAGATACTTTAGGATTTAAAATAGAAAACAAAGTCAACTCAACTGTTAGCAGGAGATTTTAGGCATGTTGAAGAAAAACCTGTAGTTTCTGACTGTAGTTTCTGACTGTAGTTTCTGGCTGTAGTCTTCCAGGCCTCTGTACTGCCTACTTCTGAATTTCTCAGGTTTTTTCATCTATTTCTGTTTATTTATGTGTCGCATCAGTTTCACTCCACATCATTCTTCACTGAAATGTGACAAAAATCCTGTGTCAAACACGTTCCACCAAATCTCAGTGACGGACACTTGTCTTTTCATAACGCATCCGTCTTTTCCTTATAAATATTTTAACACGTTTTATTGCCTGCAGACCAGGTTTTTCATAAGGAGCAGACAGGTGGCGCTCCTCCTCCTCCTCCTCCTCCTGTCAGCGTCATCATACTGTAGCAGATGTCAAAGGTTCAGCTGTTGCTGTTGGTGTTTATATGTCTCTATATGGACACTTCCAGGATTTGAACCGACGTCTTCTCAGACGTGCAGTTAAAAAAAAACCCCACTTAGGTCCGTCATGTGAGACAATGCTTTCATCCGAAACGAGGAGAGAAAAGGTGGAAGATGAGAGTTCCTCTGACGCTCAGGCTTCAGTGAGCACAGCGAGAGCTCCCTGCAGGTAGACCTGACTCACTGCAGGACAATTCAGCAGCAGAATGCTGCTGCACATCTGTTCATGCTGGGTGTTTATTTTTCAACCACAACCAAAGATGCTGCAATGTCCACAATGCACACAGAAACAAACAAAAAAAAAAAACCAACCTGGCGGCACACAATAAATCCACAACAACAGGAATTAAGAGTCAGATTATCAAAAGCCCTGCTGGATTAAGGCTGACATAATCCCACAGACTATTTATAATGCGTGTAAACAAATTGTTTATGCTGCACATGACAGATGTTTTTGCAACTTCCTCGGAAATTAATGTGACGTGACGGCACCAGCGCCTAACCTCCGCTGCCAGACAGAAAGCAGGATTAATGCCGTAAATAATTTGTGCGCTAACATGCCATCGTGTTAGTGTTAAAGAAAAATCTTTTTAATTAATTCAAGTCACTGCCGCAAATCAGAGGAGATGTCATGTCACATATACATCATATATATATATATATATATATATATATATTAATATATATACATATTTACATATACAGTATGTAAACCTCAAAAGTCTTTTAGCCGGTGTACCTCAGTAAAGCACTACGTTATTACTGACATCGACATTATTTTGGGACAGATTTGGGAAATTCATGGACCACTTCTGGCCCATGAGCCAGGGGTTTAACAACCATCCTGCAAAGCAAATGCCCTAACTGCTCATTTATTGTGTTGCTGTATTATTATTCTTATCATTCTTTATTATTAAGAATTGTATTATTATAATATTAAGAATACACCCCCCTCCTCTCCCATGATGTATTTGTTGATTAATACAGTACAATATGAGTCATATAAACCCAAATCTCTTCACTGACAAATAACACATTCATTTTCTGTCCTGAAGCGATACACGATGGCAGCCACATGGGCTAAATATAGCACAGTAGCCACTGTTAAATAACACTGTACACCTCCAGCCATGGTGCAGAACAGACCACAACAGTGTTTTACTTATATGACAATCACACAGAGGTTGGTTTTGTGTAGTGGTGAACTTCAGGTGAGCTAACCTGCTCAGCTGTTTTACCTTAGCAAAACAAAGCTAAGCGGCTAATCCGAGCTACATTAGACTTTTATTAAAGCTATTGTTGACTATAGTATTTCTGCTTCTGCTGATATATTTTTCTGCACATATACTGCATGTCTGATCTGATGAACTTGCACAGTGGAAATATATTCACACTCCGCCCCTCCCTCTGTGACACCCTTAGAGCCACTGTGAGAATTAATTACTTAGAACTTAATAGTTTGTTTTCTAGGAAATTCCAGCATACCATGCCTTTAACGAAACAGCCAAGTCACACATGACGCCCTTGTGTTAGTTCCGGGTAACGCAGCGCAACATTTGTGTGAATGTAACTCTTCAATTTTCATGCTAATATTAAATACAGTGTATAAATGTGTTAACTTCATGTTTGTGTGTCGTCATGAAAGTCTTCCCTTCAACAGACTCCTTGGAATTCCTCTCTGCACACACAGCTTAGACTAAAGTCTGGATTGTCCTGGATTGTCCAATTGAAGTTAATACTGAAGCGAGTACTCGTGTAAACCTCAGCAGTGACCTCCAAACACTAAAATACCCCTGTTGTACCTTCACAAAGGTCACGGACGCTTGGGAGCTTGAGCAGCGAGGTGGGAGGAAATGTGAGGATTTCCTGGGATTTCCTCAGAGGGGCATTAGCATATGTTCTGAACATAAACATTCAACTCATTCATTGCTAACGCACAGATACGCACGATAAAATAAACGGATTGATGGATTGGCAGGAAACTTCAACAGAAGCGTGGGGGGAAGCACAGAAATGATTGTCCGATTTATCCTGCGAAGCTGGATGAGAGACACAGCAGATTAAAATGCACAAACGTGTTCACGTAGCATGAAGGAATGCTAATCAGGATCCATATCTTGGTGTGTTCATGCCTGGAGACATTTAAATGGCCTGTCACTGAGAGTACACTTATATGAGCTGGAGAATATGATGAGAGGGAGACTAGAGATAGAGAACACTCACACACAGGACACAGTGATTGGTTCTACTGTTCGTACTGACGATCGCGTCTGTTTGTGCGTTTGCCAGAAATGGACGTGGACCACGGGTTCTATCGACAGGTGGACGTCGAGGACCACGCTCACTACATCATTGCCTTCTTCGTCTTGGTGATCGGGACGGTCGGTGTGACTGGGAATGCCTTGGTCATGTATGCCTTCTTTTGGTGAGCACTTATCCTGAAACAACCACCAGGGGGCGGGAGTGGGGCAACGTCCAAAAGCAGTACTTCTCAAATCTAGGGGTATGGGGGGAGGGAGGGGGAAGGGCTTCCAATGGAATATGGCGTTGGACATAAGTGTACCACTGCTGTAATGCTTGAATGAAAACAAGCCCCCAGCCACTAGGTGGCAGCAACTCATACAGTGGTTTGTACAGATAAAAAATATACATGTTATCAGGTTCTCAGTAGTATTTAAATTTGTGGGGGTGTGGGTTGGAGAGGGGCGTGTGTACATTTCAGGTCCAAACGATGGTTGATCTACGTATGTGTGTGTACATTTCTGCCCCTAAGGGGGCGCATGACAGAGAATAATTAAGAACCACTGGTCCAAACGATGGTTGATCTACGTATGTCTATGAAGATCCTCAGTCATCCAGGTCATGGTCAAGGTTGAACAGTTCCGTTAGGCAACTGGACGTGAAATTGTTTCTCAAAGAATACGTTTCACCTCTCATCCAAGAGTCTTCTCCAGTTCTAATTGGTGGTGGGGAACACAGCAACTCCCCAGGACAGGACAAAAAGACACTCCTTCGAGGACAACAACGTACACGTTCTGTCCAGGGTAGACAGATGGTTTGAGAGAGGGGTAAAAGAAACCGTTTTTGTCAACCTGGAAAAACTCATCACTCAACAGAGGAGGTGTCTGTGTAGGTTCTCAGTCATCCAGGTCATTTTATACAAAAATAGATACATCGAGGGCAACTGGACGGAGTAGGTTTTATTATTTTTTTTTTTTTAAGATGTTTCACCTCTCATCCAAGATGATGTAAAGTGATGTAAAGTCACAAGGTGAGAGGTGTGAATGGGGAGCGATACCATACCTATGGAATAATAGTATCACCAATACTATGACTATACTATGACTACTACTGCGATACTAGTCAGTCAGAACTAAAGAAGCCTCTTGGATGAGAGGCAAAACGTCTTCTTTGAGAAACATTCCACATCCAGTTGCCCAACGGAACTCTTCAACCTTGATCTGTGATCTGTTGGTCATGTTATGAAACTAAACCTTGCACCAGTTAATGAAGCAGTCACTGTAAATGATTGCTGTAGCATCACATAGACTTTCTTGAAGAAATTCCAGGAAGTCTTAAGTAATATCAGCCAGCTCAGACTGTCAGTTAGGACAGGATGCTCTACTTAAGTCCAAGATCTGGCAGAATCACAGAGCATTTATACTGAATGGTCTCCAGAGGTGGAAAAAGTACTAAAAAATGAATTAAGTAAAAGTATCTTTACTCTGCTTAAATTCTACTCAAGTAAATTACCCATTGAAAAATCAACAACATGACAACATGAGGTTCCTCCACAGGAGCTCCTCATCCTCCATTTATGGTTCAGCACCGGCCATCATCCAACAGGAGGCTAGTGCAGGGGTTTCAAACATAGGGTCTGCGGGCCAAAACCGGCTAGGGTGTTAAATCCAACCCACCTGATGAATTTTGAAAATAAGAAAAACACACAAACACTTGTAAACTTCTATTTAATTAAATATGAATAAATAACAATAAGTATTTCATACACTTGTACTTTTTTACATGAAAACAAAGAGGAAAAACATGAACTTGTTATTTGTAGTTAATTAGGTTATAATTGTTCTGGTCCGGCCCACTTGACATCTAATTAGATAGTGTGTGGCCAATGAACCAAACTGTGTTTGACAGCCCTGGGCTACAGCCTGTTGCTAAGTCAACGTTCTGTGGCTAAATTAGCATTTTTTACTCAATAACGATTTCTTTTCTAATTTAGCCAAGTAAAATACTTGAGTCAAAATGTAATTGAGTAAAAGAAAAATGGCCTATTCTCGAAACTACTTCATAGTAAAAGTAAAATGGCCTATTCTCGAAACTACTTCAAAAATGACAACTTACCGACAGAAGCTGCTCAATGACAGTAACGTGAGTGAATGTGAACGTGGTTTACACTCACAGGCGTGACAGCATCAGATAACGTTTCCATGACAAATGACTGTAGGAAATGATGCGGTTGATTTGGAATTATGGAAAAGAACAAACTGTTAGCACCACAAACCACAAACACTATATCAGCCAAACAGAAAAACAGAGAGCACTTGTGTTTTTAACCAGCGCAAATGTCACAAGAGCAGACACGCTGGCCTTTACGATGGCCTGCAGGAATCCAATACCACCATGTGGCCTAGTGAAGTGCACTGGATAAATCACTGGGAAAATCGAATAATTCACTCAGCTACTTGTTTACCCTACACTCAGGGGACGGGCTGAGACCACAAGGATGAAGGAAGTCACGCTTGAATTAAACCGACACATCCTGATTTTCATACAATGGACTGCGAGCGGCCCGATAAATAAGTAATGACCGATGTCAGACAAGGCGGCGAGACTCAGGTGGATTAGAGGGACGAGTGTTGGGTTACACGTAGGTGAATGAAGTAGGTCATAGGTCATAGGCTAGTTCTATAAAAAACACAAAATTGAGAAATTGTGACTCAGTCAGGACTGTGCTACACTTACCTACGTCTGCGTACTCCTGTAGTACCACTTCCCACAACTTAGTGGATGTCGGCATGTCCAAGGCCAAAAGTCTGGAAATGATGATGATAGCCCCGCCCCCTTCAACGAGTAGCTCCACCCCTTCTACCCCTACGCCCACCTGCTGTGGATTCACCATTTGTTTTACTCATGCGTGACTTTTGGACCGTTGTCATCCACCACCCAGCAGATAAAGACAGACGCACGGGGCCCTCCACTTATGTCAGAGTTCCATTCCTACAGCGCCATGTGACTCGATTTTCACATCGTTCTGAATGAGAACTAGTGAACTAGTTTCTGACTTTCATGTCCCACCTCCAGTGACAACATTCCTGCAGCTGCTGTGAGGCTGTGAAGCCTCACCTTCATTAACACTTTCTTAACAGGAGCCACACGTCTGCTGACGATGTCAACCGTGTCTGCTCTCCTCCAATCACCTTTAATTAAGTTTGCAGACATAAATAACTGGAAATTCAACACATGACTGTTACAAACACCTACTATGGATGTCCGATATTAACCTTTCGCAGATATCCAATATGCCGATATTGTCCAATGTCTAATTTCCGATATCAACCGATACCGATATAGTCCTGGTAATACTTATTTATTTATCTGTACAAACCACTGTATGATTTATTAAAATAGATGAATAGAGTGAGCTTCAATGCTGCCATCTAGTGGCTTTCACTTTCATATACAGCCGTTTTTCCCCAAAACAATTTTTAGGGCACATGTCATTTGACGAAATCCAGGCATTGCCTAATTGGGTTTTCATTATCAGGAGAAAAAAAACCCAAAACAATTTTTAGGACACACAGCATTTGACGAAATCCAGGCATTGCCTATGTTTGGTCAACTGCAGAATATCAATCATCCCTAATACGTGCACATATTAGGTACATACATATGTGTGTGTATATATATGTATTTATTTACATATATACATACTATACTGTATATATATATATATGATGAACTTAAACAATGTGAGATCTTGCAGATATTATGATCGTCACATGGTTTTCTGACAGGCTGGTTGTACAGTCTGACAGCAGGCGGGAGGAACGACCTATGATTTCGCTCCTCTAGGCATTTTGAGTCTCAGTCTGCTGCTCCGGGAGTGGCCCACTGCTGTGATAGTGTCCTGCAGGGGGCGGTACAGGTTGTCCATCAACGATGATACAGTACCGTAACTTGTTTTCCCTGTCTTACTAAACGTAAGCAGCTAATCATAGAAAATCTGTACTTAATTATAAAAAATCGACACTAAAATGACGTTGAAGCGACGCTCCGTTCCCACCGGTGACACGCTGAGTGTTGACACTACGGTCACTTCAGGGGCTGTAGCCTCTCACTGAGCGCAGTTAAAAACCAAGTGTTAGCTTCAGTCCGGGGTCTGACACGAATTCCGCATTAAGGTCACCTCCTGTGACACACGACCATTGATCTCTGCAGTCACACTCCATCCATCACACACACACACACACACACACACACACTATCAGCCTCACACTTTTTTTCTTACAATTTTTTTTCTTTTAGGAATCAGGAAAAACTTTTTTTTCACCTACGTATTACACTTGATTTAAATGTTATTTTTCTAAAATATCAGAGCGGTGACCCTCCCCTAGTTAACTTTGAGACCCCTGTTAAAAAGGCTGCCATGATTCCACACACTGATCCCAGCTCTGTGCATGGAACTGTTGCCTGGTACTAATCCATACCATGTGTTACATCATGACCATCTGTCTCCCCTCCAGACATTTGCGTTTGGCCCAGTGACTACTGTACGTCCTGCTACAGTAATCACATGTTTGAAAGCCTGTCGTGTTGCAGTATATCACAGGTTCACAGGTGAGGTGAAGTGAAAGAATCAGTAATTGATATAAAAAGACAGTTTCACCGCAGGAGAACATTATTTATGCATCTCCACCTCCGGTTCTAGGAGCTGAGTGGATCGACGTTTCCTGGACTTGTTCTACTGCGCTGCTCTACTGCGCTGCTCTGGTCGATGCTGCTTGAGTTTTTTTGGAAGCTCTCTCGGCTCATTGGTCGGTCATTGTCTTCCTAACAATGTGACCTAATGTTAAAGGTCAGCGGTGTTTGAGGTGATTAATTGCCACTTAAAAATCTCTCTCTGTAATTAGAGCAGCTGCTGCCATTTAAGAGTTTGTGACAAAAGCAGCTCACGGGCATGTGAACGTGTCGCCATGTCTGTTAAAATAAAATACAACAGATGTTGATGTCACCCTGGCTTTGAGACCGAACGCTTACGTCTAGGGATGACCGATAATATTGTCTGACCGAAATTATCATAAGTATTTTATGTCTGTAAGAATCGTTATCGGATTTTCCTTTGATATTGAAAATCTGCCAAATGATGTGTGACCTGAAAATAGTTTTGGGGAAAAACAGCTGTATGTTAAAGGAAAAGTCACTAGATGGCAGCATTGCAGGTCATTTTATTAATTTATTTTGTTAATTAGGGGATTGTATGCAGAATGCTGAGGCTAGAAAAAACTTCTGTCCATTGGGGAGCATGGCAGAATGTTTGGACCTTGACTGTCCATTAGGGGAGCATGGCAGAATGTTTGGACCT